CGGGAATCATCTTGCTGTGAACCAACTTAAGAGAACAGCTATATGAAACACTCAAAGACTTTCGCCCTTATCCTTTAACTTACAATTGGAAAGAAGATGAAAACAAACACGGTTCTTTCTCCTGGAATCTTTCCATTGTGTGCTCCAGCTGGTGTAGCTGCACATCCATTCGAAATATATCCAAATTGCATTACGAAAACAATATGCATATATCACAACAGCCGCTTTAGATATTCCTGAACGGATACCAGATGGAGAAGAAGTTTCAATAATATCTGTTCAAGCAAACCGATGTTGCAATGCCACTTACAGTATGCAATTTCACTCACTCAAGCAGACAATTCTATCAAAATCTTGAGTTCGTTTTTACTGGCGCAGCCAAAATGCTTCTCAAAAAACCAGAACAAACCAAAATAACCATCTTCTTATCTGGTTATTGTGAAGATGAAGACAATTCGGACGAAGAAGAAGAAGAGGAGGAAACAAGCGAAGACTCAGACGATATCCAGTTCATTTCCATCCGTAAAAAACATTAAAGCAAACATTTCAGAATAAAAACCTCATTTTATACTAAACATCTTCGGGGCTAGAGGGCACGAAGTGCCTGGAAGCCCCACTACCTTTTTTTTTTTTTTTTTTTTTTTTTTTTTTTTAAATAAATATTTTCATGAATGAAAGATTCACTACCATAATGAAATAAAAAAATAAAAAAATAAAAAAATTTTTAAAAATTCATGTCTTACATTTTTGAATAATTTATTTTTATTTTGTATGAAATGAGCGTCAAAACTAACGACGTTAAAAAATTGGGATTCACAAATGAGGAAATAAAGGATATATTAGAGGAGGCGGGTTATGAAGTTAGTAAATATTATTTAAGAAATTGTCAAAAATTCGCGGAGTTTTTAAATGAGTTTGATTATGATGGAAAAATGAATAAAGATGATGTTATAAATTTCTTATATCCCACATCTAAAGAAGAAAAACCAAAAGAACCTGATGTTTTCCCTGAATATTATGAAGAACGGATTAAAGATGATGATGAATACGATGAAATTGAAAAACTGGAAAAAATAAGAGATGAAATAGATGAAAAAATTAAGGAATTAAGAGAAGTTGAAAAATATAATGAAAATGAAGTAGAGGGTTTAATGAATATCCCAGCTTCAGAATCAGAAGTTCAGAAATCTCATGAAGAAAGATATAAAAATTATGTCTCAGAATCAACACAAAATTTATTAGATGGTGAAATAGACGAAACACTTTCAGAAGAAGGTACTAAATTTATACGTAAACATAAGTTACAATTTATTGATAATGAAGAATACCCTTGTATCTTACTTTCACCACCTTTAGATTCCGAAAAATTCAAAAAAGCTCTTAAAAACGTGACATATGCAACTAATACGATTAAGAAAGAAGATCATGATATTTACACAAATTATTATTTAAATAAATGCACAGGTGTTGATAAAGTTTTTGATTTATTAGATAAAATATCAAAAGAAACCATTGGAACCTATAAAATTTTGTGTGATTGTGGTTTCATTATTGAAGATACCAATAATGTTTCATATGAAAGAACAGCACCGAAGGAAGATGAAGTGGAAAAGTCTATACCATTCGTTATTAAGAACATAAAAGATATGAAAACTTATAAACATTATATTTATTCATTTATTTCAGAAAAAATGGAAGCAACCCATAAAACATCTTCTCATCATTTTATAGCTATTCATACATTCCTTTTCAAAGTTGTGAAATTAAATAAGACAGGAATTAGATTTAATGTATCAGGGTACACATTCTTGAGTAAATTAAAATGTATTCGTCACGTCGCAGATGATAAAAATTTATGTGTTCTTAATTCATTTTATGGGCTTTAAAAAATAAACTTTATTTTTATTTTTTAATTTTTTATTCTTACATAAATGAACAAAAACGGAACCGCTAAAATGAATGATAATCAAATTAGAGCAGAAGGTAGAAGGTTATTTAAACGCTTCTATAACATTCCTGATGGTGTTAATCCTAAAACTCGTAGAAGTTATTTAAATGAAGCAATAGATTCATATGAAGGGTTTGACATTTCATCAGAAAGTGAGAGATTAGCGAGAATGTTAAATGTTAATATTGATTTCTATTATTGTGATCCTCAACCAGAAGACGTGGACATAAATAAGGTAGACTTTCCATTAGTGGAATCAATAATGATAGATCCAGAATTTGAAACAGTAAATATTTTATTAACACAGAGTCCATGTGGAAAACTTCACGCTGACAGAATAACAGACGTTGAAGCACTCACCGGCTATAGAGTTTGTCCATATTGTAAAGAAGAAGTTTATTCTATCCGTGATGATCCAGAAAGGAAAAACCAAAGAAGATTTTTAAAGCATTGTGAGAAATGTAAAGAAAATAATGGAAGATTAATTCAAGACGTTCAATTGCAAAAGACACAGCAACCATATGCACCACATATTACGAAACAGAAGATATATCAGTGGTTATTAGCTCACAATTTGCAGAAATATTATAAACCGACAAGATATTATATTACTTTTGACTTCGAAACATTAGAGACTAAAGAAGAATTACAACTTTCTGAGTGTGCAACTTTGAACGCTTACTTAAAACCATTCATGGTATCATCAACGGTTAAATTAAATGATAAAACATATATGAGGAATTTTTGCTTAACTTCAAGTGATTCTTTTATTTCTGATTGGATTGAGTTTTTATTTTCAACCTGTTCATTAGTTGCTAAATCAAATATTGAACAATATGAAGAATTATTGAAGTCCCATACATTAAATGAAAAACAGAAGGAAGCATTTAAAGAACTTCTAGATGAGGAATTCAATAAAGTGAATATCATAGGTTTTAATTCGGGAAAGTTTGATTTAAATTTAATTCTTCGTGATTTAAACACTGCAAAATGGAAAATAAAATCAATGCTGGGTTCATCTTCACAATTTAAGCAAATCATTGTAAAGAAAACAAACGTTCCATATGAATTGAGATTTATTGACATCAGAAATTATATAGCGGGTGGGACATTAGACCAATTCACTCAAGATTTCGGAAACAATAAATCACGTGTTAAATCCTTTTTCCCTTATCAATTCATCACATGGGAAAATTACGAAGAAGAATTATATAAAGTGGAACCATTCACTCAAGATTCATTTTATTCAGCATTAACTCAAGAAACTATATCAGATAGTGATTATCAAATATATCTCAATGATGCTAAAAATTTTAAGAATAGATTAGAATATTTTATTCATTATTGCAATAAAGATGTTGAAATTATGATTGACCCAATTGATAAAATTATTGAAGAAACATTTGTTTATAAAATTGATATGCTTCATAATCTTTCTTTATCATCGAATGCTTCAATGATTCGTTACGCTTTAGCATATAAAGACTTTAATCCTAATGAAAAATATCCTGAGGAAGAGATAGAATCAAGTTTTGAATTAACGAAAAAGTATTGGAAATATAAAATTGAATCATATAAGAAACAAGATGAAAAAGCAGAAAGGGATACTAAAAATAATGTTTCAATGGATGATTTTCAATACTATCACGATTTAATCCTTTCATCTAAATGCAAAATGTGTGGTAAAGCGTTTACATATGCAAATAAACCAACATTGGATAGAATCGATAATGAAAAACCACATACCAAAGAAAATTGTCAGTTAATGTGTTGTTATTGCAATGTCGTAAAATCAAATAAAGATGAAGATGTTCAACGTTTAAGAATCAATTTAAGAAATTATGCATTAAAAAATAATTTACCAATGACTTTAGATTCAGTTGAAGCTTATCACATTCTCCGTAATGGAATTACTGGTGGTTTATCAAATGTTCAACATAGAGTAAATCTTAAAGGAATCACGCACATTAATAAACTTTCATATAATCCAGAAACTAAAACTGTATCAAATGAGGACACCACCAACATTATGACTCATTTCGTTGGAGTTGACTTTAATTCATTATATCCTTCATCATTTTCATCTAATCCTCATGATTTCATTCAATATACTGACCATAAAATGTATATGCCGGGAAGATTGAATGGTGTCCTCATTTGTGATACAGCAACAAAGAAAGCAAAAGCACTGGGAATAATTAAGAAGAAAAATACTTTATTCGTGGCTGAAGTAAAGGGTCACATTGATGAAAAATACATTAATGATTACATAAACTTTTTACCGATAATAAGAAACTTAGATATTATCACAGATGAAAAAACAATTGGCAGTTTTATGTATAATTACATGAAATCAAACAATCTACCGGTTGACCAGAAACAGAGAAAATTAACTCAGTTAGCATCAACACACAACCAATATCAACCATTTTCTTCTTATTATCTTTGGTATCTAATAGACAGATTTCATTTTATCATCGATGATATTCAATCAATTTTAACATTTACTAAAAACACTTGTTTTAATGAATTTGCGAACAAATTTATGAACGAAAGACAAAAGGCTGAATTAGAAGGAAATAAAGGAAAAAGTTTATTTTGCAAAATTTCACTTAATGGATCATATGGTTACGATGCAATGAATACACAAAATTACGCAAAGACTAAAATAATGAATGCACAGAAGTCACGCGTTGCATGTATGTCAAATAAGTTTAAAAACATAAGAGAAATAGGTGAAGATACATATCAAGTGATGCTTAAAGATAGATTTTATAGATGTGATACATGTTTACAAGAGGCATTCTTCACTTTAGATAATGCTAAATACTGGTATTTGGTTTTCATTTATGATTTTATGTATAAATGCATGAATGTTAATCGTTTTCATTTCATTGAAGGTGATACTGATTCATCTTATTGGGCAATCGCTGGCGACCCAAATCTTCCTAACACTCAAGCATTTCAAGCAATTGTAACCGATAAACAATTTTATGATAAAAACATTTTCAAATTCGCACCATTTGATTTCTTTTGTTTTGATGAGAAATTTAAACCTAAATTAAAGAATAAAGCTGAAGAAAAAGCACATGAGAAGAAGTTATTGGGTTTAGCAATTGAGAAACAAGGTGATAACATGGTTGCTTTATGTCCTAAGTGTTATACATCATTCAACGGTTCAATTGATGGAAGTGATTTTAAAAAGATTGCACAAAAAATGAAAGGTGTTAGTTTACGACAAAATAAGCAATTAACACCTAAAAAATATTTGGATATAATAAATGATAAAGTGATATTTGATGGTCAGAATATTAATTTACAACTTAAAAACGGGTCAATGACTCGCTTAACAATCGGTAAGACTGCATTAACAGGAGCACACACTAAGGCTGTATGTTGTGAAAATGGATGTTGTATGCCATTTATTTAATACAATTTAAAATTTTATTTTTAATAAAATGCCACAGAAGAGACAAAAGGAACCGTTGAATGATGCGATTCAATATGTAAATAATGGTTTTGATACTATGATTCAAAGAGGTGGGCACCCTTAAACATTTATTTTATTTTTATATAAATGAATAGCGTAGATTTAAAAAATTTGATTGATGATTTAGTACTTAATCAAAATTTTCTTAGTTATTATGAATTAAAATCATATCTCCAAAAATATAATAATAATATAACGGGTGATGATATGGAATATTATTATCCATATTATAAAAATGAAATTTTGAAATATCATAATAAAATAATTTCTGAAATTAAAGACAAAATTAAAAATAATGAATATACAAAGGGAAAAACTAAATCACAACTTAAACAGTTGAAAGATTTCAAAAATAAAGTATTAACAGAAGAAGATATTGATGAATTATATAAATTATATAATCCTGAGCCGCAAAAGCCAAAGGAACAAAAACAAAAGGTGCAAAACACCCAGGTCCTTCAGACCATAAATGAAGCACAAGCTTTAATTTATGATTCATTAGTTAAACCATATTCAGCCCGACTTTTAAATGAAGATCAACTTTTGGAATTCTTCCTTCAACATAAACTCGAAGCGGGAAAGTATATCAAACCTTTATATACAGCATATTTAAAACAAATGAATATAATACATCCAGAATTAATGAAGGGGGGAATGAAATCCAGAATCAAAGCAGATAAAATTAAACCACTTTCAATACCAAAACCTCCAACGACAGTACCGCCTCCTCCTTCAGTTAATCCTTCATCATTCACTTTATTATATCCATTTCAAACATTAAAGAAACAAAAAGATTTTAAAAAGGATTTCAAAATATTAAATAAACCAATTGATCCGAAAATTCAACCGTTAAAGGAAAAATTTAGTCGCCCTTCATTTGCTCCATATCCATATTCATACGAAATCGATCATTTAGAATATTCAAAAGGAAACGTTACTTATTTATTTGCCATTAACATTAACACTAGATATTTATATTGCATTCCAGTGAAAGGGAAAACAGAACAGGAAACAAGAAGAGCTATTCAATACTTACTAGATCATGAAAGAGTAGATAATATCAGGGGTGATGGTGATAAAGGATTTCAGGCAACTATGATTCATTATTTCCCACAAATTAATTTTTTCTTCTCATCCTCTCCATATACGTTTCATAATAAAATAGTTGATGCGGTAATGAGAACTCTTAGAGATGCGTTAGGGGTTAACGGTCAGATATACTGGGATGGAAATCATGACTCCATCATACAACAGTTAGTATATTATTATAATAATACATGGCATAGAACTATAAACATGAAACCAGTGGAAATGAAAAATGATATTTCAAAAGAATGGGAATATATTAGAAAGCAAATGGAAAGGTTGAATGATGTTAAACGTGAACAAATTAATTCGGGGCTCATGAATTTTAAACAAGGGGATAAAGTTTTGATTCATCTCGATTATGGAAAAACTGATAAATCAATGACAAAAAGAAGACGAAGATTTGACACAATAGCTGAATTTGTTAGATATACTAACGGCAATGCATTAGTTGAAGTTGACAATAAATTAATAGAAATTCCAATTTATTTTATTACCCCATTATATTTAAATAATATTTAATTTTTTTAATTCGTAAGAAATGAGTGACAACGAAGCAGTCAAGAGTCCAGACGATGAATATAAAAAGAAACTAAACAGAATTAAATCAAAAATATGCTATTACAAAAAGAAGCCGCAATGTGGTGGGGTTGAAAACGATAAAGAAATAATCGAAAAATTAGAAACTTATCATTCAATCATTAAACTGAGTGAAGCAAAAATAAAAGAATTTAATAGAATAAATAAATTGGTTGGAAGAGATGAATTTAATAAAGATGAATTTTTAAACTCAATCCAAATTTAATTTTTTCAGTGCTACCATGTTACCATGTGCTACCAGGTTAATTAACTTCTCTGAAAAAATGAGACAACATGACATTTAGACAACAGTCCTGGAAATAAATGTTTACGTTAATGTTTTGTCATGATTTCATCGTATATGCTTTGTCATGACTTCATCGTAAATGATTTGTCAAGACTTATGAAGGAGGCGTTGAAGATGTTATACCATCTAAGAACTTGAGAGAGTCGAAGCCAACACATCTGGGTCCATTAGAGCGGGAGTACTGGAAAGAATAAGAAAATTCTTCTAAACTTTTTCATTAGATGTAAATCAGACATGAACGAGAACAGTCATGATATCATTAATGGTACCATTTATTTACACCAAAAAATAATGTTTAGGGTAGATGGTTAGATCTAACCTCATTTCTACCCTCAAGATTTACAAACGTTTAACGTGATATACGTTATGAATTTTCATGAATTTTATATATTAATGTTTTCGTTAAGCCACTTTGTGCCGTCAGTCAGTCAGTTTAGGAAAGACTTTAGAAAGTTGTTGGAAAATAAGTCCTGGGAAGAGTATTATAAGGCATTTTGTGAAGAATATAGCAACCGCCGGAATTCAGACGGTTGCTTTTTTATACAAAATTCATGCAGGAAATTCTTGAGTTTTGGTTGAAAGAATACGGTCGAGCCACTTTTGGCTCCACCTCAAAACAAGCATTTTATGAGCTTACTAAGGGTGTTATAAATGAATTCAAAGGTATTTACATACATCCTGACCTCGTTCATTTTGTTGCTGAATTCAGCAAAAATAATGTTTAGGGTAGATGGTTAGATCTAACCTGATATCTACCCTCATTTCTACCCTCATGAATTTTCATGAATTTTCATGAATTTCCTTAAGACAGAAGAAATAAAGTTAGTTTTATTTTTATTTTTTTATTTTGTATAAAAGATATGATTTCAACAATCGGCACAACAACAATTCAAGCCACGAACGGCGGGACTCTGTCCACAACTACGGCACCAAATTCATTAATCATGAATCCTACGTCAATGTTGGTAGAGATGAAAAACTTCATTCCTTCTTCATATACTTTTGAAACAGAAATACAAAGAATAAAGCAAGAACTTTTAACAAGTAATTTAGACTGTAGTGCGAAAGATGAAACAAATGGAGAGGAGCTATATGAAATGCAAGATATCATAGACCATTTGCCTAAATTACCGGAAGTTCAGCAACAAAAACTAACTATTCATGAATTCGATGAAATTGAAGTTAAAGTTACTGATTCAGTAGAAATAAAGAAGTTCATACGTAAAGTAAATTATGAATTCCTTGGTTTTCATTGCAACCATAAAGTTATGAACAAAGATTGCGACATGGTATATAAGAACATCTCTGACATATATAAATCTGAGGAGTTTAAGACTTACGATAACTTTGTTTCATTAGCTGCTGAATGTGTATGGCAGATAAGAGATAAAGATAAAAGATGTAAAATATGGAATGGACAGATAAAACCAACTGCTTCAGATTTAAAGAAAGCCATTGATGCTTTAGTTATTTTAGCTGGTAATGTTTCAATGTATAACGCAAAAATGAATCCGCAATGCTCAAAATGTAAAGCAGCAATGAGGAAATATAACTACTCACTAAAAGAGATAGAAAGAATGAGAAACGATTACGCAGACTTAAAGAAAGAAGCAGAAAAGCCAGCAGAAGATAAAATGGACATGTTGACATTTCTTAATAAAAACTATCCCACAGCTGATGATTTCCTTTTATCTGACGTCAAGAAGAAGTATAAAGAAACTTTCGGCATTGTTAAAATTTTTGATATATTAACTGAAGAAATAGACGCTACAAAAATATTTAAAATTTCACGAATTCATAACGTATATCACGTTAAACGTTTGTAAATCTTGAGGGTAGAAATGAGGGTAGATATCAGGTTAGATCTAACCATCTACCCTAAAATATATTTTTATTGAATTCAGCAACAAAAATAATGAATTTCATTAGTTAGAAAAATAAAGTTAGTTTTTTCTAAGAAAATTTTTTATTTTGTATGTAAAGACAGTAATGTCAACATCAGAGAACACAACAACTGCTATCGTTCATGAAGCCATAAATGAAGAATACGAGTACATACAATATAACAAACAACTTCGCCTCATTCGTTCGGTCAAAGATGACATGTACCAAATGCAAAGTATAATGAATGCTCTTCGTTCTACAAAGCAATCATATCATTGGTTTGAAAACCAACAGACAAAAGAACTTTTAGAAGAATTTCCTCATATGATTGCTTCCCTCGGAAAACCGAGAGAAGAGATTCCGTATGAAAATTCATGAGGGTAGAAATGAGGTTAGAAATGAGGTTAGATCTACCCGTCTACCCTAAAATATATTTTGGGTCATTTACACTCATTACGAAGAAGTTTTGACAAAACGTCTACCCTGTCAAAATTGAAGTTGGAGACAGAAGATACGTAGTTTTAAGAGTTAATGGTAAATTCAAGGGTCAATTTGATTACTTCAAGAATTTGATGAATTCATGCACTAAGGAATTTTATGATAATTTACTGACGTATTTTATGCAATATGACCTTTCATCATTTAATGTACGAATCATTCCGATGACTGAAGCCAAACAAGATTTAATCGAGTTATCAACAAATCCTTTAGATGTATGGATAAATACACATTATGATGAATTGTGTGCGGGTATGACGTGTAAAAATGCTCTATTCTGCAAACCATCAGACATGAAAGACAAGAATTTCCAAATGAGCATTAAGGATAAATGTGATAGGAAACAAAGAAAAATAGATGGTAAACAGACATGGTATTATGTTTTGAAAGAAGAAATGAAAGGATTATATAAACAGGTTGAACCAAACGATAATGAGGATTCATTTACTGACGATGAAATACCTGTAAATGATGCTTTATAAAGTATGATTTGAATTTATTTTTGCCTTCCTCCTGTGTTGTTGTCTAAATGTCATGTTGTCTCATTTTTTCAGAGAAGTTAAATAACCTGGTGACCTGGTGACCTGGTGACACCTTCAGTTCTTCAAAAATAATTCATAACTGCCTTCCCCTGCTGTGTTGTCTAAATGTCATGTTGTCTCATTTTTTCAGAGAAGTTAAATAACCTGGTGACCTGGTGACACCTTCAGTTCTTCAAAAATAATTAATTATTGAATAACCTGAAACCATGAGACTTTGTCTCCGGACTCTTTGAGTCACTTAACGTAAACATTAACGTAAACATTTATTTCTGCAGTTCATCCATTACTTCATTACCTAATTAATTACAGACATAAAATATATTTAGTTCATTCGGTAAGCCTTGACCCAAAGGTCTGGGCTCAAGCACATTCAATGAACGCGGTACCATGCGAATACAGTCACAAATGGTGGCATGTAATCTTTACCCGAGCCTGTTGGATTTGTTGTGAAAGTGTGTGAATGATTTCCTGCGGTTCCACAGAAAATACCTGTGCTTGAATCTACTGGGTCAGTTGTGATATCATATCTATTCATTCCCCATCTATCCGAACCCGCTGCAAGATTTATATAACCTCTTTTTGTTATTGAATGTGAATGATTTCCTGTTGTGTTTGTAGTTCCTGTATGAGTGTGCGGTGGAAGGTTTGCTTCTTTAATTTTCTTCGAACCTCCTGTTTGCTTTGAATATCTAGCACAGTATAAGAATTTATCTACAATCTGCTTCCACATACCAAAACCTAAAACTGTTGATGGATTTGTTGAATTCATTGACGTATAAATAGAACCAACAGGATATAATGTTTGAAGAATTTCATTTTTCATGCTTGTAATCACATCATTTACTTCCGACTTCTTTGCATAATTTTCATCAACATAAGTTTTATCTGCTTTAAGGTCTAAACATCCTGAAACCCATTCTGTATCAGCTTTAACTTTAAAAGTCTCAAATGTCCATTCATGATACCATTCAACCTTTTCTTTAATTTCATTATCTTTTTCATCAACATAAACCAAATTTGCCTTCTTCTCTAACTCACTATCCACATATGTTTTATCCGCCTTCTTCATTATGTCATTTAGGAAACCTTCTATGAATTCCTCATTTAAATTAAATCTTCCAATCTTCAAAACTTTAGGAAATGCATTTAACGCGTAATATCTCTGTTCTTCTGGTGGAATTGATGTTATATCATCCGTTATACCTTTAATTTTAGAATTCATAAATAAAATTTCTTTTATATTTGATATCACTGCACCACCTTTGCAAACGAATTCGAAATGTTCATTTTTCAATACTATCTCCAAATCTCCATATTTCAACCTTTGCGTTTGTTCTGCCGTCTTTGAATTATATGCATATATGGCGTATGTAATAGTCTGAAGGACCTGGGTGCTTTGCGCCTTAAGTTGTTGTGGTTGCTGTTGTTTAATCATTTATTATGATTTAAAAATAAATATTTAATCCGTTATCTCATCACCTATTTTTTCTATTTGAAATTGCCATAATATTTCATTCATGAATTCTAAATCACAATCAAATAGGTCAGTTATTCTAAATTTAATATTTGATAAATCTTTTGAATGAAGAATAAATGAATTCCCGGATAATTGAAACGGATATGATAAAGAAAATGTGTTTAAGTTGATGGATAAAATGTTTTGTATTGATGGGTAAGAGTTAGGGTCTAATGTTTGATGTGAAAATCTCATTGGGGTATTAACTTTATCACATTTGATTAAAATGAAATTGGAACCGGTGTCAGAATACAAAACATCCCCAACATCTTTTTCAAAATTTAATATTCCCAACAATGAACGAAGATGAGGAGTACAAAATTTAATTTTCAGCGGAAATTTAATAAGGTTATTTATTTCATCAAGTTCAAAAAGTTTATCGGGTTTTGATTTAAAATTTTCTTCATACCATACGATAAATGATTCATTTAAATAACTTAAAATCATGTTAATATCCCATTTCGCTATCACATTATTTATATACATATCATACGTTTTTTCAAGGTCATCTTTAATAAATGATATATAATCTGAAGGGTCTAAAAGAATGGGATTAAATTTACCACTCACAGAAACGAGAGTAACATTATAAATTCCGCTAACTGTTAAATTTAATTCACAGTTATTATTCGAAATAATATTGATAATTGACATTTTTATTACGATTAAAAATATGGTAAAGCGTTATTTTCCAGTGATAAATAAAACTAGAATAAGATTACCTCAAGAATTCATAAATTCAACGAATAAGAAATTCATTCATGTTATAAATTTTAGTGTTTTCAGAAAATATGAGTCAATGTCATATTCATCAACAGGTTATATTTCACTTCATTCAAATTTAGTTCAATCAAACCCATATAATGACCATTTCATAAGATTTTCAGATGGTATTAAAAATGTAATTGATAGATTAAAATATGAACAGATTGACAATATCGAATTTTTGGAATTTTGGTTTAAATATCCCGATGGAAAAAAGATTGAAGTTAAAGATAAAGCAGATACTATAACAAAAACAATTACAATGACCGATCCAGATAGTGGGGAACAAAAAGAAATAAAACAAACGATAGAAACTGGTGAAAGGTCAATTATTATCGATTATGATTCAAAGGATTATTATTCGATAATGTTAATGCTTGAATATTAAATAGCCTTAACAAAGAATTTTTCAAGTGATATTTTATATTCATCAACTATTTTATTATAAATATCATTATATGTTAAATGAAGTTCAGTTGTTGTTCCGTTCTTTGATATCTTAATTGTGCTAATATCCTTTATAGGATTTATTTTTGCAACTGTTCCGCAGCATGAAACCTCATCATCTATGAAAAATTGAATCTTAACGTCTGAATCTTGAACATCACAAAGAATGGCGATAATGTGAATTAATGATTCATAAGGTAAAATAATTAAACCGGATTGATCAATTAAATTTATTATTGAATCATAATTATTAATTATTATATCACGGTAAATTTTCATTAATTCAGAATTAATGTCTATTTTATATGGGTTCTCGATGTTTGATGAAAGAGGTGGGGGTATGTTGGATAAGTGGGAATTTCAACAGGTTCTTTACCAGGTTCAGATAAAATGATTGGGTCTCCATCTTCTTTATTTTGCTCCTCCTCCTTTTTCGGTAAGTCACGAGTTAATAAATTTGGTTGAGTTGCTGACCTTGTTAATTCAGGGCTAACATTAACTTTAACATTTTGAATAATTCGTGATTTATCATCATTTACGTTATAACCAACCGTAATCTCTGCTTTTGCGTTAGTGTTCTTTTGACTAGTGAAACGTCTTCTCATTTATATTCGAATAAAAAAATATATTTAAACTTTTATTTTGCTGGAACTTTTGAATCTATTATTCCCTGTATTTGTTCATGAAGTTGATTTTTAGCTGTTTCATCGAAATTAATAGACCGAATATATTCATTAATTGCATTCTTATAATCATCTGATTTCTCAATTTTTCTTTTATCTGATTCCTTAACTAAATCATAAGTTAAACCACGTTGCTGATATAATGGTTTCTTAATTAAATCTTTGAATGCTTGAGATAAAGCACCTGATGCAATTCTTGCTACTATAATTGGTTGGAATTGCTGTTTAAGTTCATCTTTAACATTTGCGAAAACTGGATCGAATAAAGCAACTTTAAAGAATTTCTTAGCTGAAATTTCAGGTCTAATATTTGCATATTGACCATCAAACTGGTTAGAATATCGTGGTAATCCATCCGGTCCCTCTTCAATAGCATTTAATTCTTCATTGAAATAAGAATATGGATTATGACGGTATGAATTAATTGGACCATTTTCACCTTCTCCAATGTATTGTTTAACAGCTTTTCCATTTTCATCAAATTGCATAGGATAACGTTCATTATATGCTTTACGTTTAGGATATCGGTTATAGTTAATTTGTAACCATTTATGACTTTAATATTACCTTGACCATCAGTAACGAAAACTTCATTTATACCATCAGGTTTTCCATCTGGACCCGTAATGTCTGCTTCGTGTGCTTCCCAATTTGGACCATGACGTTTGGCATATGCTTGAGCTTCTGGTAATGTTAAAACGTTTCTTTTTTTTAACATCTTTTTGAAGACCAGCAACAATATGAACTAATTCTTTCATTCCATCAGGAACTTTCATAGTTCTATTATATGCACCCTTTTTGTTTGTCCCTTGTTTTAATGGAACCTGTAGAAGATTTGCTATTTCTGTCATGTTTAATTATAAATAAAAAATAAAAATTAATTATAAAAAGTTAATCAAATTTAACACTTCCTTTATTTAAATCAACTATTATTTTTCCATGTTCACCTAATTGCTGATATTGTGTGTAAAGTTCATTAATGCTCATTGGTAAATTCACTTGATAAAGCATAACGTTCAACTGTTGACGACTAAACCCACTGAAAATGAAAAGTGTTGATAGATTTGATTTAATGTTTGTGCTTAATGCTTTGAAATATTGAACAGCCATGAAGAATGAACACTGAATGTGTCGACATTGAGTTAATAACTGATTAAAATATGATTTCTCATTTGTTATTAGTTTTGATTTCACGGCATCATCTAGAAAAATGAGTGAATGCAAAAATTCTCTATCAAAATTTGAAATAGAAAGTGTTTCAAATAATTCATCCCGTTGTTTATCAATAATTTTATCCTCTAATCCTTGCTTCTTGATTGTATTATATAATTCTTTATACATTAAAAAGTTTTTTAAATAATCTTCTGCTTCTTCTTGTGATAAATAAATAATTGGAATTTTGATTAAATGCTTTAAAGATTCAAATGTATCATCTGAAGGTGAACCTGAACGGTTGATATAAATTAACACATGTGAATGGGGGGAGGTGTTAGCAATAATGATAATTTGTTTTAATATCGTTAATGTTT